ACTATCGACCGACTATCGGCTAACTATCGACCGACTATCGACCGACTATCGGCTAACTATCGACCGACTATCGACCGACCATCGACCGACTATCGGCTAACTATCGACCGACTATCGACCGACTATCGACCGACTATCGGCTAACTATCGACCCACTATCGACAGGATGTCGACCGACATATCGGTCGAGTATTGACCGACTCTCGACCGATATATCGACCAATATATCAGTGGAGAGTACCCACACAGAACATGATCCGTCTCCTGTTGTGACAACATAAGATAAGACTGAAGAATGCTGTTTCACGTTGGACTGTCATAAATTTGTGCTGGTATGCGTGTTTCCATTCAAATGCGTGTTACTGAGTAGTACATTCCAGTTCATTTCTCTGAAAGAAGCAAGGGAACTTTTATCCTAAATAAGAAGAGTTAGGAAATCAAATTTTCTCTATCTACCTGTAAGTTCCATGTGTTTGTACTCCTGCCGTCGCAGATTAATCGAAAGAATGAGCTTGGTCCTTCCTTCCATAATGCCGTGTCCAGTAGATAATACCACTTTTTAAGTTCAATACCAGGACACAGGTGTGGGTGATCTATCTCAACGTCGAAGGAAACTACTCCTGTCCTGCTAAAGTCCTTCACAGCCATCAGGGGGTCTGTTGGTACAGTGGTCATCTCGCACGCTTGATAAAAAAAAAACAAATGAGACAAAACAAGCCTTCCGCTATTTTCTAAAGCTCCTTATATTTCAAGTCGTTATACCTTGACCATTTTGAGGGTTAAATGGTACCTTAAAGTATGTAGTCTCCCATAGGAGAGAGTAATGAGCGTTTTCACTGTCTGGGATTTTTTCTTGCAGGCAAGGGTCTCGGTCAAATGGTTAAAGTAACTATGCGAAAGTCAAACACGAGTCTTGTGTCTGAAAACTCCCAGATTTTACTACTTACCACTCCGAATCTATAAACGGCCTTAGGCCACAGTTATAACGAAGATCAAGATAATGTGTAACAACTGTTTGCTAAGACGCTTCAGTGATCAGAGCCACAGCATGGAATTCAATCCGGAACAACTTTACGATTATATAGTTCTCAGTAACTACTTGTCAAAAACTTAAAAAAACTGAAATTGCTTGTAGTTGTATTGTATTTTTTAGCAAGAATTGTTGTTGTCTCAAGTTTCATTCCTCTTTCTTCCTGCTTCATCCAATTTGCAGGTTATAATTTTCTTCAAAGTGGATTTGCCAAAAAAAATGAAGAAAATTTTGCAAATTATAAAGTAATGTTGGTCTTCCACTCTTTGTTAATTTTTTTATCTTTTACAGCTGAATATACATTCAGGAGTTTAAGAGAACCCCGACGGCGACGGCAGCGAGAACTAAGCGAAACGATCTAATGAGTAAAACAATAGCTCAGCACGTGCATCTTAAAATTATGGACATTTCTTAACCTTCTCATGGACAACAATTTTTAACGTCCTCCAAGAAAAGAAACCTCGACAGCAATTCGACAGTCATGTTTTTGCTTTGAACCCCACTCTACATTCACAGTTATGACGAAGGGAAGAGGGAAGATGTTGCACCTTCAGTAACTGTATGTGAATCGAGCCCCTGGTGAAATCCTTAGAAAATTCGGTTTTTTCGGTAAAGCTTTCCCTCTCGTCACCTTAACGACATCTTCAACTCCTTCAAATGTCCTTTATACGCGATTTGTCTCTCATGCGATCCGCCTTCATATGAGGACGACGTGTTTTCATTCATTTTGTTCCTCCCCGGCTTATAGATAAAGGGCGTATATAAACTAGTCAGTGTCGGAAAAAGCATTTGGCTGAAACTTGACAAAAATGACAAATAAAAATTTGAAAAATGTGTATCAGACATTCATAACTAATGACTTTGAATACACCAGAAAATACGCCTTATTCTTAACTTGAATTGAACGTCGGTGAGCAACACAAAACCGCAATAAAGCGATAAATGTTTGCGGCTTTTACGTACGCCCTTGAAATAAATCACTGTTTTCTCACTTTTAGTTCGCGCACAAAAACGCATTCTCCGCTGATCGAAATATTAGATGTTAAGCCGTCCTCTGAAGCGACTTTCCTGTTTTTCTGTTTTCGAAACGTTAGTCGTCGTATGAACGATAATACTCAAACACGGAAGTGAGAAGTTACATATCCTTTAGAAAAGTATGTTTTCCATCGTATTTGAGAGGAATAAACAGATTAAGGTTTTATAACGTCATTTTATTGTCATAGTTAAACGCTGCTGTATCCGTGCAACTTAAAGATACTGTGTCATATTCTTTTTATGTAGTTCTGTAGAAATGCGCCATCCAAACACCCAAAAAGCAAATTGGAAAAAATGCTGGAAACTCGTATCAAGAATTTTAATGAACACAGGACGGGAAAACTGGCGATGAATTAAGCAACGGTTTGAATTGCAATGCTTTGTTGGGTAATAAGTGAATAAATTACATTTTGGCCGGGCAAATTTACGGGGTGGCGTCCATCTTTCCAGGGTGAATGGGAATTTAGCCTGTTAGCTTTTGTAGAGGGCGGAAACCGCAGCACTCTTAAAGATTCCCTCAAATCAAGGACTAAATTAATAATAAACTTAGCAAGGGTCATGCCATCGAACCCATACAGCAGAGGAGAAGGTGAGCGCTAGACACCACATCATCTCGGCTCGTCAGGCTCAGTATATCTTTAAAATCAAAGGAAATAGAGTCTTACCTGGGTCCACATATTCAGTCTGTACACAAGTTCCTCTATGGACGATGTAATTCGGAAAACTGGGGCTACATTTACAAATACAGCAATCACCAGGTTTACAGCCAGCACTTCCAATAACACGTAAACATTCCACAGGACTGCACGTCGAGACGGGATTGGAAAATGAATCAACGTCACCCATACCGTTTCGCTTTATAGAACGAACAACGCTGAAAGCGTTCCCTTTGCTGAAGAAGAAACAAGTTAATATGGAAATCACTAATGACAGCGTGAAGATTATACTGGACTTGGAATTATAAACCATTTTCCTTCGATGTCGTTTTCAACGAAAGCAGCTCGTGTGACGCAACTCGTAATCCAATGTGGTCGATATATGCGCAGTATTGATAACTGTTTTTCTCGCCGAGATTTGCGTTGTTTTCGTAGAAACAATGGCTGGGATTTGACTCATCAATACCCGAGAGAAGTCAGTTCCTTTTTTTTTCATGAACGCTAAACGTTCGTTAACCCACCATTTACTAATTTCTCTTCTCTACTGCGAGCGTATCATTCGCAATGCACAATATTCATTAAAATGAATATCACGTAAAAATGCTTTTCTGTAACTCAGAGTCACCAATATCCCAGAAATTAAGCTTTGTTAATGTTGTTTTCCAAGTTGCATAGATACAGCTGCCCTATACGAAGAAAAATTCTTCATCCTATATCTGCAGTAATATTGTTCAAGTGTTGTGCGCATGACTCAATTTCATTGTTTGACACTCTTTTTTAGACATTCTGGGCTGTGTTCCAGGGGCTCTTTTCCTGTTCATTTTTGCGTATATGTGAAAGACAGAGTGCTTCGGAGATGTTACAAAAGGGCTAATTAGGACAGGATATGAGATTCGGTTTTTTTTTTCCTCTGATACTGAGCGTGTCGTATTTCTAAGTAAAAAATATTTCCCACTATCACTTTAAAACAACACCAACAAGTATTCGTTCTTCTTAGAGGCAAGAAAAAGCACAACGAGGATACTTTAGTAATTGAAGTGGGAGAGCAGTCAAAAGGGAATTGACAAAATTAGGACACTTTCAGCCGAACGTGTCCAAAAATGGCTTATTTTATTATATCAGGTTCCTTCTGTCGATGGTCTTAATATTGACACCTCACTTTATTTTAATACACCATAATGAAACAATTACGAATATTCCAAATTATTATTGAGTAAACTTTAATTTGCGTTTATTACACTCGGAACTGAATGAAATTACCCACAGACTTGATTACGCAACAATAGTTTGATTACAAAATGAAGGGAGTGATCAGTAATTCTGTTATCTTCAGTGCCATGCATTTATAATACTAATACCACCTCTCAAACGCGGTCAAAAGTCCGTTTTTCTGCCAAAGTCCGTTCTGGTTTTGGTTTGTGGCCATATTTAAAGCCTCGTTTACTTCTTACCTTTTTCTAATCTTGATACACATCCCGAAGAAAAAAAATATTCATATCCCATCGTGTTTACCGAAAATACAAATATCTAAGTCCTTCCCAAATCGTGATCTATTCCTACTTTTTTTTTCCGTAAAATGATCGTACCAATCAGTTCGAGCTACATAAATATATCCATAATATTGTAAATGCACATGTTAGAAGCACAGCATAAAAAAATTCATCAGTCATTGGCGAGCATGCTATTGCCATAAATCGTCTTTTTTTTTTTTTTTCCACTGACAGTAAAATTCTTAGTTTTCCAATTCGCCAATCAATCAAAGTGGCTAGAAATGTGAACCATAACTATGTCTTTATGCTAGAATCAACAATACCGTTCTGAGATGGTATGCTTAAAGATAAAAATTGCAAAATCACGAATGACAGTATCATGTAGAAAGAAGCTTTTAAAACCGATGATACTAAAATTATAGTAGACTTTCCTACTACTTTTATGATTCTGCTAAGCCTAGTTTTAGAAATTAGCCCCTAAAACATTACGTGACTATACAAAGCCTACAGACAACTTTTACTGATATGATCGTAAGGATGTTAGCTATTCTCGACTGGATCAACTCTATTCTCGTTGGCTAATGTTCTCGCGTAAGTGGCGGAAACAAACAGATCTAGATATCGCAGCCATGATAACGTTCTCCTATATCGCACGCTCCAATTCGTTTAAAATAAAGTCAAGACTTCCCACACAAAGAACGGCTTAATCTTTAACAAAGCCTTTCATTTCTAATCAGGTCGAACAAATCGATCTTTTCCTCGGAGACATTTTGTAGAAAGATTTAGGGAAATCAAATTCATGAAAGCTAGCATGTATTCAGATGTGATACCTGGCGATCGACTAATCTTTCTAATGATTTCAATGTCTGATAAGATCACCACGAGAATTAGTGTTAAGAGTTTCATGGAAAGAAGGCACCAGAATTAATAAATACGCGTAGTTTATTACAACACTTTTAAACCAGAGGCACACTTTGTCGTTAGTCAAGTTTTACCTCGTGCATTGCTGCGGTCACGTCGCGCAAGTCCACGCAAATCTGAGCGAGGATCGCGAGAGTTGATTACGGACCGTAGCTTTAAAATGGCAACCGATTTCTTGTTGTCTCTAAAGAACAAGTTAACTTTACAATCATAAAAAAGAAACTGTATGATTACTGTTGACTTCTAACCTGATAAAATTTCAATGCACCTTATACTATTAGTGATGATGTCCTTCAAATACTTGTTAGTAATTTTGTTATCTAACTAGTATGGGCGCGATTTCGTGAAAGCACGTGGTTTCATCAAAGTGCAGACGCGACGTCACCTTGCCATTTTCATAGCTCAGAAGCGATGTTTGAAAAACAATCTTTTTACCAAGGGGGTGGAGGATAGGGGAGAGAAAGGAGGTCCCTCCCCTTCCTAAGTTGTTTAACCACTCACTTGCTTTTCCTTCTATGACACCACAATGAAAGATTATTCGTAACTTTCCATTTTCAAGCAACGAAAAGAGAGCCGTAATCATAATGCAGTTTTTTCTCGGGTGTTAAAAGCGAGTCGTGTGTTTTGGCCCAAGATATTGGTTCAAAAAGGTAAAAGAGAGGCGCACGCAAAACCGCAATATCCAAGCTTCAGTATTGAGCCTGTTATTCTTGTTTTTGTTATGTAACTGAGAAATCCGACACGCTTTTCCACGAGCGAGTTTTTTGTTTCATTATAAATATGCAGCATGGAAAAATCTCAGAGTAATAGGCTTTTAAGTAGTCAGCATGGAAAAATGAGGAAAATGGTTACACAAGCATTGCGTGCTGAAAAGATTCGATGGTTATCGTTTTATTGCGAGGTACTCTTCTCATATGGTATGCAATCATGGGAGAAAAAGTTTCACCCTAAGTGTAATTATAATTGGACACATTAGCAGAACAAATTTAAGAAAAGTTATTTGGAGGATGAGATTGCTGGTTCTTCTTTGTCGCTTTCCAGCAATAACCGTAAAGTGGCTTTCTATAGGTCCCGTCACGATAAAAACGAGGAACGCAAATAGTGATTATATTCTGGAACTTCAAAAGCTCTGACTACAAAAGTCCAGAACTCTTCATGTGAAAGAGGTTTGATATTTGCATGGTACTAAAAATCAATCCTATCTTAAACATCCTTGACACTCATTTTGAAACAGAGGATTGAGTCACTTCAGAGATGGTCATTTTATTTTTACACTAGGCACGAAGATCGAGTGTATTTTAACCAATCAGAGGCATTTGTTTTTTTTGACATCATTGACATGTACCGCTAATATTGGACGGAGACACAAGAAAAATTGGGGTATAAGTGGATAACCTTCAAATGCTTTTAAGATCTGCGATGATAAAATGACACAAGAAAAATTGGGGTATAAGTGGATAACCTTCAAATGCTTTTAAGATCTGCGATGATAAAATGCAACTGTCAATAACTTTTATCAAAATAGACAAACCATTACGCGAATTAGTATTGAGGCAGCCTTAAAATCTATGTACTTCAAAGACTGCATCGTGTGGAGCCATCATAATCCTACCATTCACCTAGAATACATTTATTTAAAAGGCAATCAGGAGAATTGGCTTTTTGATCAAAAGTACACTACCCAGCAGACTCATGCGTTAGCCTACTATCACGGACAAAGAGAGTTGAGAAAGTTGCGAAATTCACCAGTATCAGCGCCGAATTTCAAGCAAGTTCTCTTGATATTGAAGGGAAATATTAAATTTTTTTCCCTAAGTATACCTACTTCTTATCAGTGTTGGAACTTGAAGGATAAAACAAACCCTCGAACAGTTCAGGTTTAAATAACCTCAGCACGAGGGGAGGGTGGGGATTGAAGAGAAAGAGAGCGGAAGGGTGTTTATCTTCCCTACATTTTTCACTTTTTTTCAATGTTGGAACGTAAGAGATGAAACGCATCCTCAATCAGTTCAGGAGGGGGGCATTGGGGCCTCTGGGAAACCGCAAAACCGGAGGAAAAAACCTCCAACACCGAAAAACCGACGAAAAAAGGCAGCAAAACCGAAAATCGCATACAAACCTGACAAAACCGCCACATTTTCACCTTTAAAGGAGTCAAAAAGGAAAAATCGAAAACCGCATCAGAGTTTTCGTGAAAACCGAAAACCGAATGCAAAAACACGTAAAATCCGCAAACCGCTCTAAACATCAAAACCGATAAACCGAACCTTTCTGGCCCAAAACCGAAAAATCGATCCAAAAAAACAGTCAAAACGCAAAACCGAATATCCCAAAGCCCCCCTCGTTCAGGTTTGAATAACTTCACCAAGAAGGTGGGGATGAAAGAGAAAGATAGTGAAAGCGTGCTTATTTCCCCAACACTTATGACTTTATTCAATGTTAGATCGTGAGACAGAGATTTTGAAAACAGGATTTTGCCTTCACAAATAAACGGACGGACGGACGGGAACAGCTCTATAAACTTCCTCTGAGAAAGGGATTTCCTGGGTGCACTCGCTGGCTGCGGGAAGGCCCGCGGGATCTATTACGGCTGCTGACTATCCTTGAGACAATGACTAACAACAACAAAGGATGGCTCCAACGTAGATTTATTCTGCAATGTGTACTGAGCTTTTTGACCCGACCTGGCTTGGCTGAGTTTCTCTTGGCCAATAAACTGGCTCGACCAAACAAAGCTCTACAAAACAGTTCTATTTGAGCCTAATGTACAAAGGACTAGGTAATGCTATGAATTATCTAAAGGATCATTTAATCTACTACAACGATTGGCTAGGGAGGAATTTCACCTTTTTTACAAGATTAATCACTTTCGAAAAGTTCTGGTGGATAACAACTACACAAGAGGACATGACGGGTGACGGTCACAGTTTGACACTAATTACAGTTATGATATAATGACAGCTGTTTACGGCTGACTGAATGAGAACTGGTAGCACTTATACTTTCCCGAGCTTAGCAAAATCTCACCGTTTCTACATTGAATTTTTATGTATTTTAGCTCCAGCATAAAAACTCGATCACTTAAAATCCTATCGTTACAAGATGAAACAAACAGTACCACATAGTGGATGTCTACGACGAAGTTAACACTATAAAGTGTAGACTGTGTCCCACTTGTAGCCACTAAAAGATGCAATTTTGTATCAGCAGAGATTCAAGAAAATCATTATCAAATGATACATCAGTGTTTAATGGAAGCAAAATCAGTTTTATGCAAATGAACTAATGTACAAAGACGTCAACTTAAAATCTATAAATACTACACTGGTATATGGTTTAGGAGTTTCTTTAGAAACTATTTATATTTCACTAATTTTTCTCGTGGTACGTAAAACTAAATCTTAATGTAGTAACATATCTATGTCGCTGAAAGATAATTTTTCCTAACCTTACAACTGTATCATACGCAATGAAGCTAAAGAAGAATAATAATAATGGCAATGACGGTTGTAAGGGTAATTTTAACCATTACTTCTTTCCGTCAACGTTTAGTGTATATCATCAGTGTCACCTATAAAAAAAGAGAAAACCAGTTGCTAGTGTCAAATGCCAGGATTACAATGAAAGATTAACATCAAATGCTTTTCTAGATTACGAGCTAACAGTCCCTCCTTTTCGGCGAAGTCAGTGGCGCGAGTCAAAAA